GAAGTCAAAGATTGCTGTTGAATCTCTGGATTCCAGTCTTGACTTTACTGGAATATTCTAACACAAGAAAGAAGTTTGATCGAATACACACTATTATGGGTTTTGTTTTTGGGGTTGTTTGTCCTGCTGGGAGGCGAACTTCTACTTTAACCTGAAGTATTGTTTTGCTTCTAACAGGTTTTCTTTCAGGACTATCCTGTTCCTATTTTCTTATAAACTCTAACTAGCTTCCTTTAACCCGTTGACATGCAGAATACCCACAACATGACGCTGCACGAACAAGACTTTCATTTTATTTTTCATTTAGGAATGGCTTTGGGCCACTCTTGCATAAAAGCAGGATTAGCTGAATTTGCCTTTTGGAGACAAATTCTGAAATCTGAGCTTTGACCCTCTGCAGGTCACCATTAAAGTAAGGAAGGAAGGTTGTTCAGAGATATGAGAGTAGAAAGAATATTCAACTTTAAATAATAAAAAGCAGCTTTAGTCAGGATGTTTCTGGGTTTGCCCAAATATATAAGAAAATTTTCACTTTAAAAAAGAAAAACACAATGCTGCTCCAAACTAAAGATGTTTTGATTATTTCTATGTAGCCTGAGTTAAACTTTCCTGATTATCTGCAGGACTTTTGGAGCGTGCAGCCAAATGTTCATGTCTGAGCTTGAAAAATGTGGTTCTGGGATTTCAGATTCCTCAAGCAGCCCTGCATTAACAAACATCATTCATCAGAATGTGGGCTCACATTATCAGACAATCGGCTTTGGCAGCATTTCCAAATGTTGTGGTACCAATGATAAGATGTTTAAATCCTCTATGTCATCGTGTCTTTCATTCCTACAGGCAGGAATTCTAGAAAGAGGTGAGGGTTCCAGCGTACTAATTTGGCTACACAGCTGCATATGAATGCATTTTATTTTCCCCTAAATAGGAGAAGAACTGTATACTCAACTACATTTTGAGCAATGAGCTAAAAGTCACATTTGATCAGATTTACAATGTCACAATCCACCTAATATAAAGCATTAAAAAGGGGAGATTGCAAATTAGCTGAATTTACATGCAGCTGATACTTTATGTTCTTCCACCGATGCTTATCAGGTAATAATTATTCACTTAAAGTACACATTATTTCTTATTAGTTGGAATCACACAGCTGAGGACAATGCATGTTTGGATTGAGCAGAAAAGTTGGGTGGGTGTGTTATGGTTATTATAAACTTTTGAAATGTTCTCTTCCAAAGCTGAGGTTATTTTGCCACTGCTTACTAAATAATAATAACTGAACATCATTTATCTCACAATGGAAAAATTCACTTCTGCATCTTAACCCACTGCCTTGGGGAGCAGTGGGCTGCCACTGCACGGCGCCTGGGGACCAATCGAGGGTTGAGGGTCTTGCTCAGGGACCCAGGGTCCAAGCTGTGGGGATCGAACCAGGTACTTGCAACCTTCTCAGAGCAGAAGCACACCACACAACAGGCATCGGAGGAAACTGTCCACAACCTCAATAGTCTAATATCTTAAAGGCTGCTACATATTCCATGAGATATAATGCTAAGTAGCTTAGTCATAAACTAAAAAAATATTGCTACTGCATTGGCATTTACTTAATCATATTTAATTACTTTAACGCAATTCTTTTATATCCTACCCTGCTAACATGAAGCAATTGTGTTAAAGTAACTAAATATGATTAAGTAAATGCCAAAAACTGTTGCATTACTTTTTTGCAGTAAACATTATTTAATGCATTCAGAAGTGTGTAATAACTAGTTACATTTACTTGAGTAATATTTTAAAAAGAAAAGAATGAATAGTTTTGCAGCGTTGTACTGTTTATTTTTACTTGAGTAAAAAAATGATAAAGTATCACCACTCTTATTTAAAAAAAAAATTCTGCCTGCTCCATCCATTATGAGAAACTTAATTTAATGAAAACAGACCTTTTTTTTTTTACGCAAAAATGCACCACTGAGAGACACGCTTCCTTCTTTTTAATGCTGCAGGCTTATGGATTAAAAGCCATTGTAAATTCTCAGTCATCCGGGTCATGGCAACAACAAAAACAAAGTTCATTGGAAGGCAACCAGACGTTTGCTCAGTTTTTTCCCTCTACTGAGCCTGTCTTGTCATTTGGAGGCTGAGGTTGGAAACTTTATACTGTAATTTAATCTATTGTTACATACCGTAAATATTAATTCTGTAATTTTTATAACTCAAAAAATTTATCCTGAACAGTGTTCATTCCACCTAAATTTTAATGTGCAATCACTGTATGTTATATATTAATTTTTATCTTATTCTTTGAAAGACCAGAATTTCTATATCACTTAATATTTTTTTTAAACTTACATAATTTTGTAAAATATTCAATCAGTGTTGTGATCATGAGTAGAAGGCAATCAGTAACTCTGTACTTGAGTAGCCTTTAACCAAATACATTTTACTCTGACTTTATTAAATGCTATTTTTTACTTTTATTGGATACAAACATGATGAAATAGTGCTACTCTTACCAAATTACAATTTTTGGGTACCCTACTGACTTCCAGTTGCAGGTAAGCAAATGTGTATACATTGGTCACTTTGGTACAAAGCTCATCCCTCAAATATTAGATGAGGATGAGTCCAGGACTGCAGACAGGACAATCCATCCAACAAACCTCCTTTCCCAAAAGCTTGTTATTGATGACAGAGAAAATGTAAGTAACATTTTTTCAAGGGTAAAGCCAGAGATGCGTACACAACAAGCCAACTTTTAAATAATCATACATTTATTATATTTTGCACAAATTTTATTTTTGCAAGCATAAAACAAACTTGTATTGGTTATGGTACCAAAAGCTACTTTTGCCCTGACATCCTAAATCAGACATGCAGGCCTTATTTGTTCAAATTTGTCTATATTGATAATGTTTGAATGATTTGTCAGACTACTGCTGCTAAAGGTGGGAAATATAGAAAAGCTTTGTGTGGCATTCCTGCTGTGCAGTTGAGAGATTGTTCTTCTTCTTAAGCAGTAAATGACGCAGGTACTTATCTTATTCCACTGGAATGACTTAAACAATGAAAAAAATAAGTGATGTTTTAGTGGATATTTAATAGTGAATGGTGTAAATAACCCCAGGTGTTTATTATAACATTTCATTCTGTTAATAAAATGGACCATCTTCAACTACGGTAATTTATTGAGGTTCTAAAATATGGTAGAGTTTTTCTTCACTATAACGACAACAGTTCTATGCTGGCTTAGTTGCTTAAAGAAAATGTTGTAATAAGGGGCAGAGCTAGATAGGGGGCCTTAGTCAATTATTTGCCACCGCTGTGACCACTCCTACCATTTTTTCCCCTCAATACAGATGGTGGCAGCAGAAATACTCTCAAGTGGAATATTCTAAACATTAAAGTACATAATTCATGCTCTTTTCAGAACTAGATTTGGTGTTATATGGGGTAAAGAGAAAATTATGTGTCTGCAAGTCTAGGAATCTTCAGTGAAATCAAAGATAAATAACAATTTTAATAAAAACTTATCAAATAATCAATTTATGTAGATATTTGTGCTTGTAAATATAAATTTTATGCAGAATATTTATTGATACAAGTAGGCAAGTAATGAAAATGGAAAAGATTTACGCCCCAGATCTCAAAACTGAAAGGGTTTTATCCACTATACCTTTTATCTAGAAATTATGGATGTTTAAATATATGCGTCTATTTGTTAGCAAAGGCTGTAGGAAAGTATAGTTTGTGTTTCTTTAGAAAATATGGATGTTTTGCTCATTAATTTTTCCTGTTGGAACAGAGGAGTAGCCAGATTTTTTTTTATAAGGGTGGCAATAACCAATGTACACTGAGGGGTGGCCGAAAGCGGATAGGCACCAGAACCTCAGGGTCAGTCTACACTGTTCCAACAGGAATATTAACGAGCAAAACATCCATATTTTCTAAATAGAGACTAAATATACTTTCTGAAAGCCTTTGCTAACAGATAGATGCATATATTTAAACATCCATGCTCCCTAGATAAAAGGTATAGTAGATAAAATTCTTTCAGATGTAAGTTCTGGGGCGAACATCTTTTCTATTGTCAGAACTTACCTACTATTATCAATAATCATTCTGCATAAAATTAATATGTACAAGTAATAATATCTAAATAAAGTAAATGTCCTCACTGTGAGATCAATAAAGTCATAAATTGATTATCTAATAAGTTGTTATTAAAATATTTTTAAACAAAGACTCATAGATGACTTGCATTTTCTCTTATATATTAACTACAGTGTTTTTGTTGTCAAGTAACTGTTAATATATGAAAAATGTTTATGTTTTCAACAGTCCTCTTGAGAGTATACTGCTGCCACCATCTGTATCAGAGGGAAGAAAATGGTAGGGGTGGTCACAGGGGTGACCAATGATTGGCTAGGGGTGGGGATGGCCTCCCCTGGCCCCCCCATCTATCTCCGCCCCTGTGTTGGAACAGTGTAGATTGACCCTAAGATTCTGGTGCCGATCTGCTTTCGGCAACCTCTCAGTGTACATTGGTATGCAAGAGGATTAGGGCCACTGGAAAAAAAAAAAAAAAAAAAGTAAACTGATTTTAAATTTTAATTTCAGTTTAATATGAACTGAAATAAAAAAAAAATAAAAAAATCAGTTAACTTTTCTTTTTCAGTGGCCCTAATCCTCTTCCCTACATTTGCTATTGTCTGGCCATCCTTATAAATAATTTCTGGCTAATGAGCTGCAGTTGTTTCACCTAATGGATGACGTTACAGGGTTTTATCATTCTTATTATCTGCCTTTTGTTCAGGGTTTTTCTTGAGTTCGCAGCTGCGCACTCTGCAAAGCAGTGAATTTATGGTAAAGTTCACTGTTGCAATAAGCGCTTCCTGTTAAGACTTTCAAAATAAGGGCATCCCCGCAAATATTTGCACTGACCACATTGCACCTCTGTCAGATTGTTTTGTCTTATTCAATAAACAACCCACTTCCGGTTTTGTCCTTATTTCTCAAGAATGGAGGCGTGCGGGTAGAAGAAAAAATCTATTGATGTGGAGACTGAAAACACATTTAAGAAAAAAGGGGGTCAAGAGCGAAAAAAGGAGGACACATCCAAGTCACAGCATTAAGACTCTAAAGTCGCTCCTGTTATGGTTTAACCCAGAAACTTTCAATAATGGGATGCGGGAGATCAGCTCAGCCCTCCAGCAGCTGTTCAGGGGGCCGAGGATAGGACCATCAGTGCTCTGCTGTTTCTCCTCCTTGAGTCTGGATGCGATCAGAGCTCAGATGCGTAAAGCTGGAGAGGGCAGCCCTCTGAGGAGCCTTTCCTAAAGTCTAAATCCGGCTTTTCTCCCTCATCGTGACAGTAAATCGATCACTTTCCAGCTTCCAGAAGCGGATGGAGTGAACTGTGCCAAAAGAGGAGGGGGGTAGCAGAGACTGCAGCTCGGTTGCGTGTGATGATAGGAGACACAATGACGCTCCTGTCTCTTCTGGGTCGGATCATGCGCTATTTTCTCCTCAGGCCGGAGACGTTGTTCTTGTTGTGCATCAGTCTGGCGCTGTGGAGCTACTTCTTTCACACCGACGAGGTGAAAACCATCGTCAAGTCCAGCCGGGATGCCGTGAAGATGGTGAAGGGGAAAGTGGCGGAGATGATGCAGAATGAGCGCCTGGGAGGCCTCAGCGTCCTGGATGCGGAGTTCTCCAAGACGTGGGAGTTCAAGAATAATAACGTAGCCGTGTACTCCATACAGGGCAGGAGGGACCACATGGAGGACCGCTTCGAGGTGCTCACCGACATCACCAACAAGAGCCACCCGTCTATATTCGGGATATTCGACGGCCACGGCGGAGAGGTAGCCTACTTCAGCACCACAGGCGCATTGGTTTTATTACAGCTGCTGCAGTGAGTTCATGCGGGCAGAGATACTGCGGCTATTAAAGTTCATTTGGAACAACACACATGCATGTGAAAAAAATAAAGATAAGTAATCATAATTGCACATTTAACATTTTAATGCGAATAGGGTGTTAAAAAAAATAATGAATTGCAAACCTTTATTCTCACACAGCTCAATTTAAATCGAATGTAGCCTATTAACTGGTTCATTTTTTATTTGATTTATTTAAAATAATATCTCAGTTTTTATTCTGTATTAACATTGTCTTGTAGGCTTGTTAACACATTCCCAATCAAGGGTGTAACTTTGTGATGAAAGTTGGTGGGGACCAGTGGCGTTTCTAGACCAAATGTTTCAGGGAGCCAGGAGGGGGCCAGGAGGGGGCCAGCGTGTTTTCATGGGGGCAGAGAAAAGCATGAAATAAAAAACAGTGCAAGGGGTTTAAATATATTAAGATGGCTGCATGAAGTGAAACTTTTATTCAATTAGGTTTAATTAAAATTCTATTCCTTATTAGGTCAATATACATTCATAATTTAGGAATTTTTGACATAATTTAAGGTAAAATGACAGTTTTTTTATAGAATCAGAATTAGAACTCAAGAAAAAAATGATAAATTCATTTGTAAAAATTTGAGCAATTTGTTTTGAAAAAACATTTAGCAGAAGAAAACTGGGATCCTATCTCAATACCAGTGAAGCTATCACCTTATTGCTTTTAAATAATTAGAAAAAACAGAGTTTGTAAAGAAAAAAATTAAATAGATCCAAAGCACCTATCAGTAACTATGTCTGTTACAGCGCATATCATCATTAGAATTTATTTGAATATTATGTCTTCAGTACAGGGACCATAACAGGACGTGATCTACAGGGGCACTGCCCCCGTTGGCCCCTTTCTAGAACCACCCATGGTGGGGACACTTTAAGGGTGGTGGCTGATGGTCTTACAGTTATTCGACACAAATGCTTCAATAGGGTTTAAATTATCTAAAAATGAGTTAAAATATATATTTATGCTTTCCTATTGTTGAGAACACAAAAGAACAGAAATATATTGATATTTATGGATAGTTAGACATTAATTTATAGATAAAAGGAGGAGCGGCTGTTTCCGATGCCAACAGCAATATATCATGCCTCCCTAGTATGTACACGATTTCAGTTTCATTCATTCATTCATCCATCAATCCATCTTTGGATTGATGGATTGATGGATGTTTTCCCTTTCATCTACATGAGTGATTATCCTTCTTCAAAAGTGGCTAAATCAAATGTAGAAAATTCTCCCACATATTGCTGAGAGCCAAAGTCTATGTATTGAAATTATTGGCGGGGACGTGTCCACATCAGTCCCTCAGAAAGTTACGCCTGTGCTCTTACTACATCTTGCGCTCTGGGAGTTGACTTGAAGCTAATAACAATGAGTTTTGTGTGCTGTGTGGGTTTCATTGTGTGCATGTGTGCTCTTGGTGCCTCATTCACTCCCTCTCCTGTCAAGGGTCAGTGTTTTCTCATGCTGAGCCTGACTACTTCTTGTTACAGACACCATCTGTCACTGAGAGGTTGTAGTTTAAGACTTCTCAAACATTAAAACTATGAATTCTGTCAGCCTCGACATGTGTATGTATATTTATATTGGCCTAAAATACATGTCGAGGCTGGCAGGAACTCTAGTTTTTACTTTTTTTTTTACTTTTTTGCTGAAATGGTTGCATTAAAAAAATAAGGGATATGGAATGCTATTTCACATTGGTTAAAGAAAAAGCAAGTCTGCTCATGTTTTGTTGGATGAGAGGAAGGCTAAAATGCAGTCAGGACCTTGGGATGAGCTTGGTGGAGCTTTAAGCATGCTGGAGGAACCAGCTAAGAGCAGAGACACCAATGGGCTTAAATGCTGAGGGAAGAGTGGAGAATGACGTTGATTTTAGGTGAGTTTATTTGGGATTTATGATCCACAGCACTGCAAAAATGATCTAGAGATCAGTAAAATTAAGTTTATTTATCGTTAATTTGAGTCTATAAATAAGATGATTTGCTAATGGAATGAGTACTTTTACTTTTAAAATAAGATAATTACATAAAATGCTCTTGAAATAAGACAATGCAGTTATTTTTTCTTATTTAGAATTTAAATTGTCTTGTTCTATCAGCAAAGTGTCTCACTTACCTCCTCAACTCAAGAAAAAATTCACTAATTTTAAGAAAAAAATACTTAGATTTCAGTATTTTGCAGTGAGTGGAGGAGAGCAAACAGGGACTGAGAAAAGGTAAATAATTAAAACGAAGAAAGCTGAAACCGTGTGTAGAACCTCGGGCAATGGTTTATTAAATCATTCATGCTTCATCTGATTTCATGTATAAACATCTATCTGATCTCGAAAGTTTTAGTTTCCTTTTTTTAGCAGACACTTTCCCATCAAAGTTTTGCAGCTATCACAACTTATTTCTGTGTAGCTATGATACATCGACCAACTGATAAAAAGGATAGGGGATAAGAGTTTCTCTTTAGCCCAAGAGTTTACAACTTTTACAATCCAAATGATTGTAAAAGTTTAGCAAGATAAAACTTGTTAAAAGGCCTTTTTTTAAAAATCAGCCTTTAACTTTGAAAAATATGTACAATAGGAAATGTGTCGTAATATTAAATAAATCGTTTTTATTTCTATTTGGAGGGTATAAAATGATAATAAACTCTTGAAGAATTGAGGATAGGTATATTTTCATAGAATGCTGATATTTGTGAAAATAATAAAATATAAAATATTTTTCAGACTAATGACAAGGAAAATAGATCTAAATTCTAAAGTGTCATTCTGTTTTGTAAATTCAGTGGAATTACTCCATAAAAAAACCCCAGCAACGACTGATAAGATATACATTTTTGTATTTTATGTATACTTAAAAACACTTGCTTCTCTTTATTCTAGCCAACATTATTAATGAAGTGTCCCGAGAGACCATTCTGGCTTCATAGCAACATGTTGCAGACAACAGCTTGTTTGTTGCGCATTTGTTGTACAGAAAAGCATATTTATTAATATCTACACTTTATATATGCTTTCAAAAAACAATTTAAAACCTTACTTTAAGAAATTTTGAAAATGCACCCCTTTAAACAGTATTTTGTTTGGTTTCTAAGGAATTAAAGAGTCAGAAGCATGACGTTGACAAACTATGGCAACAAAATCAGGGTAGCTGGTGTTTACTTGTGTAGACCTTTTTTGTTTATTTTAGTCCTCTAAAATAATATTTGTAGTTCTTATCAGTTCTACCCTCCCCACTATCATTCTGTCATTATGCCCTCTGTTGCTTAGTTTGTTTGCTTTTTTATGCACTTTCTTATATCCTTTCATTGTTTGTCCAACTTTTTCTCTATATATTTTTCCCTGTAATCCTTTTTTTAACATGAATATATGACTTTGCTTTGGATTTACAGTGAATGTACAAAGGTTTCTGTAAATGAAGTCATTCTGATGCAGAGCCATTGCCATATATGGACAGAATATACATCCCCTTGTGTTCCAGTCTTGAAAATAAGCAGAAGATATATTAGACGTGTCTGTTTTTTTCTGTGGTGCTCGTTTAATGAGTTGGGGCCCTGAAAATGAAAGTCAGCACAAGCTGCTGCTGCTTTCAAGACTTGATTTACAGAGACTAATGCTGTGGAAACAGACTCATCTTTTTACAAGGCTTCTACATCAGAATTATACCTATACATTGAGAGAGGTGCAAAGACATTTTATTATAACAGTGATGTCAGCAAGAAACCCTGGCTACACATGAGTCCACTTTTAATACTGCAGCTTCCATATTTCACATTGACTAATTAAATACAGCAGCAGTAAAATCTTTGGCTATTAAAGAGATTTGCTGCTACATTAATCCTGCAGTTTTTTTTCTGCTGTTTGCTGCAAATGGAAAACTGCACTTAAAGCTCTTTTACTCATCCCATCTCAAAGTGGGCCACTCTATCCAATTGGATTATGCGCATGTACCCCTTCAACAGGAAGGATGGCAAAGGGAGCGGTGCGGAGGGATGATTTCTCCCCCATTTTAAGGAGGATTTTGCTTTATCTGCCATTCCTGAATCTCTGGTAAATACCTCTCTTGCTCTTTGTACAGCGGTGCTGCAGCAGATTTACAATGTTACATGACAAACAGCGTTTTTGTAGAGTTGTTAAAAATTAAATCTGTGCTTATCAATAAACGCTGCATTGAGGAAAGCTTGTTGCTCTTTGAGCTAAAAAACAATGTTGAGAGGATGTGTTGATTGCTAACATTGTAGCTCCGCTAAATGTTGCCCTGACTAGTCAAGATAAGTTTTTATTCTGAAAGTGGAAAATTCGAAAGTGATGATTTAAGAATGGTGATGCATGTAATATGGTTGTTAGAATCTGTGTAATGACTCAGAACAGAGGGACCCAATATTCAGACTAGACAGACAGTGAAATAACTTTTAAAAAGTTTATTTAAAACTGGCAGATCAGAGTAGCAGCAGCTAGGACCTCTGAGGAAGAAAACTCTGAAGAGTTTAGTGGTTAGTGATCATGTAAATCTATTGGAGGAAGATTATGAATGTGAGTCACTAACCTGGTTTACAAGTTAAGTCCATGCCCAGAGAATGAGCTAGAATCCAGCTGCTAGGCTGCCAACAAGATGATGTGGGTGCTGCCCAGTGTCCCAGATGCTGCAGCACTGGAGAAACAAGCAGGAGTTCGAAGACTAGTCAGACAAAGAGATCAGAACAGGAACAGGCAGGCTCAGAGGTCCAGGAATCCAAAGCCCAGTCAGGCAAACAAATCAGAACAGGAGCAGGCAGGCTCAGAGATCCAGGATTCCAAAGCCAGGTCAGGCAAACAAATCAGAACAGGAACAGGCAGGCTTAGAGATCCAGGGATCCAAAGACAGTTCAGGCAAAACTTTCAGATGGGAACAGGCAAACTTAGTGGTTGAGAGGCAGAACAGGTCAAGATCAGAAAATCAGAAACATCAAGGTACTCTAAAAAAACCTCTCACCACTGGCTAGAGAGAGCAATAATAATCTGCCGCTGATGACTGGATGCAAGCAGCTTAAATAGAGGCAGGAGCAGGTGGATAAGATGAGAGGTAATGAGAAACTGGGCAGAATTGGACAGGTGAATGAAATTAGCAATTAATCCAGTCATCAGTGCAGAGATTGTGACAATCTATTGTCTTAGAAGAACTTGTCACATTGATACTAGCAGCTGAAAGCTTTTCTTTTGTGCAGGGAGAAAGTTAGAGTCTAATATGGCAAGCTAGAGTATAAGCTAAACAAACTTCCTTCCTGTTTATGAATGTTTTAAACACCTTAATGGCATTTCGGAAATAACAGACAGTCACTGTGGAAGTAGAACGCCTCTGTGTGCTTTCATTTTCTTTTTATGTGTCTAATCACCACTGTGGGTCTGTTTGTGTTGCTCTGGCTTCCTGTCATCCCTAGGCTGCAGCTGACTATGCGAAGGCCCACCTGCCAGAGTCTCTGAGGCAGCAGCTGCAGGCCTTTGAGAGGGAGAAGAGGGAGAGCGCTGTGTCTTACGCCAGCATTCTGGAGCAGCGCATCCTGGCCGTGGATCGGGAGATGCTGGACAAGCTCACCACAAACCATGATGAAGCAGGTCAGCGGGGTGGGGGGTGTTAAGAAGGGGATAAATGAACAGGGATGGAGAATAATAATAATAGTAATACTGATTACAATAAGTCCAGTTATACTGTTTATCAAACATTAAAGTAAACACACTAATGCTATTTTTTTGTTTTAGAAAAACATCACAATTGGTCTGATGATAAGCCTTTATATGATCCACCTGAAAGCTAACTTATAATATTTTTCTTTTTTTTTTTTTTTTACATAATTGATAAACATGACATCATCGAATGGCCCAACTGCATAACAGTATACTACTGAACATTTATTTATGAGTCAGAGAAACAGCATCAAATAATCTGTTAGTGGGAGGAAATTTACAATCTACTGCTTTAGAAATAGATGTGCTCAAAGTTACAGTGAAAGTTTTTACTGTGATTGTAAACATCATGACAGAACAGGTAATATTAGTAGTCAGCATAAGCCCTGTAGCTCTAATCAAATAAATATAATATAAACTTTGATCAAAACTGAACCTCAAAAGAAGACTTTTTAATGTGATGTTTGGTATCTGATTCTAAAACATAATTTAAAAGTATTTATATTCTTACATTTTTTCCCATGTTGTGGTCACAATGTGTTTTATTTAGATATTTTTGTGACAGAACACAAAGTAGTGGATAAGTATATGTGCAATGTTTTAATTTTAAAATAATACGTCTTGTCATAGAAAAGTACTTTTCTATATATTTTTAAATAAGCAAACAGAGTAAGTTTAAAAATAAAAAAAACAAGTGAAAATAATTAAAATCTTTTCCTATTTTTGATTAAAAAAATGTGAAAATCTTACATGCTTTTCCTTGTACTAAATATGCCCTATGTCTATGACATCAAATAAAAATGGATTAATCAGAAATGTGGTTGTAAACTGAAATGTGAGAAGATTAAGGGGAATGAAACCTTTTACAAAGTACTTCATTTGACTTTTAAATGGACAATCCAACTGACGGCCTTATTAAATCTAAATGTATTGGTTTTAATTAGAGTATTAAATCTAAATGTTATCTAAAACTATATTTGCATTTAGATTTTACTCTGTGTGCATCAACGGTAATTTAGACAAACACATATGTTTCCACTTAGTAGATTTAAACAAACACATTTTATACATTGTGATTGTTAAGGACAGAAGATGTGATTTTCAGCATATTCTGTTTTGTTGTTATTTCCCTTCCATTACCCATTCAGGTACAACATGCCTGATGGCGCTGCTGTCAGACAGAGAGCTCACTGTGGCCAACGTTGGAGACTCCCGCGGGGTGTTATGCGACAAAGATGGGAATGCTGTTGCATTGTCACATGACCACAAGCCATATCAACTTAAAGAGCGCAAGAGGATCAAGAGGGCAGGTATATGCTGAGACAGTACTGCAATGCATCCAAGATAATCAACTGCACCACCCGTCCCTCTGACTTTAGGAGTCTTTGCTGCCATCTGTAGGGAAAAGCCGACACAGCGTGCTGTTACACTGCATCAAAACCAGATACCACACCAGGGGTCTTTGATTCAGTCCTTGAGGTTTTGGTGTCCTGCCCCTTTTAGATGTATCTCTGCTTCCACACACATAGTTTTAAATGGAGTTTTTGCCTTCTCAGTATGACACCCAGTTTGCCAGAGTCCCAATGATTTTATTTGATGCAGGTGTGTTGAAGAAGAAATGCATCTAAACGGTGCAGGACACCAGACTGCAGGACTGGAATTGAAGAACGTTGCACTACAGTAATACCTCACTGAAATTTGTATTGCTCTATCTTGGAATATGTAATATTATTAGTTTTATTACGGACATAAAAAGTTCCTTGCAGTTAATCGCAAATTTTACAGCTAATTTTGTACACCTAGTATGTTTGATTTAAGATTGATTCTTAACTTACACCATGGCTACATTAATTCTGCAAGTTTATTGCTTTTTGGAGATATTTTTTCCTACAGATTAATATATTATGTATGTATAAAAGCTATGTTATGTATTATCTTATTTAAATGGGTTTTTAAACAGCTATACGCTCAATCTTAATCATAGTCATGAATTCAATATTATGAGAGACAAAGAGTGAAAAAACCCAAAAATGAATATGAAAATAAATTAATAGACATATGAATACATAAAAAACATATATTATTGTATAAAAATAATTATATAAAAAAAAGAATATATATATATATAAATAAATGAATAAATATGGATATGTTTTGGTCATGAAAGAGGCTATTTAAGAAGATTTTTTTTACTTGTATTTCTCTATTTTTTCCACATATTTATTTGTGTATTTTCTTTTTTGTGTATTAATGCATTTATTTTTTAAATTTCTATATGCATTTGTTTCTACTTTTACTTTTTTCTTCCCACATTTATTTCTGAATTCTCCATATGTTGAGACGGGTGGTTTTAACAATGGTCTTTAGCATGATTATTGAACTGGAAGAAGCAAACAGAAGCCTCCTCTCCATCTCCCCTGCCTCCTTGTAGGAACTGTTTGCTTCTGTGTGACTCTCCCAGTTTGCCAATCATGCTGAAGACAATGTTAGAACCACCCACCTCATTAACATATGGAGACAGGAATGCGGAAATACAGAAACTAATGGGGTAATAAATATATAAAAGTAGAAATAAATGAATGTAGACATAAATAAATAAAAAAAATAAAAGTAGAAATAAATAAATGAATAAATTAGGGCTGCAGCTAATGGTTATTTTTTCAAATAATCAATTAATAATAGGATAGCCAAAGGTTCCTTAATTACTGCTGTACTGGCATGTACAGTCTCTAAACTCCAGTTAACCGTTGGCTGATTACTACATTATTTGAGGATTATTTTAATAATCGATTAAACAGGATTAATCAAGATTAATCCGATTAATAGTTTCATCCAGAGAATAAATGTATATATACATAAAAAGGAGACTTTATAATTTATATATGTATTTGTTTTATATTTATTTATACAATTATATGTGTATTTGTATTTATGTATTTAATTATGTTATGTTTATTTATTTATTTGTTCATACAGTTATATTTTGATTATATATGTATTTATTTTTATATTTATTCATTTATGCAGCCATTTGTGTGTGTTTATATATATATATATTTTTTTAATAGGGTTATATGTTTATTTTATATTCTTATATGTATTTATTTTCATATTTTATTTTTGTTCTGTCACTTTTAATTTTTGTTCTTGTCCCTCATACGATATTCATATCCCTTTTAGCAGATATCTAACTATATACAACCTTGCAAAAATGTTTGCTTGCAGGAGGCTTCATCAGTTTTAATGGATCCTGGAGAGTTCAGGGAATCCTGGCTATGTCGCGCTCCCTTGGAGACTACCCTCTCAAGAACCTCAACGTGGTCATTCCCGACCCAGATATAATGACCTTTGACCTGGACAAACTGCAGCCCGAGTTTATGATCCTAGCCTCTGATGGTCTCTGGGATGCTTTTAGTAACGAGGAAGCAGTGCGCTTTGTCCGCGAGCGCCTGGATGAGCCTCACTTTGGTGCCAAGAGTATTGTCCTCCAGTCGTTCTACCGCGGCTGCCCTGACAACATCACAGTTATGGTGGTGAAGTTTAAAAGTGGAGCTGGGGGGAGTAGTAAAGCTGGTGATTAGGTTGGGGGAGGAGTTTAAAGCTCACACTGTGATCAGAATATTTTTTTCCTCCCTCATTTGGATGCAGCAGGAAGAGCTTTGATGAAAACAGGAAACCTGATTAGCGGAAACATGGCAAGTCCACACACAAATGTCCTTACATATAAAAATAAAGCTATGTTTTATGTTCGTGGGTTCAAAAAAAGAACATTTAAACATACTATAACTAACCTGTGTATGACTGACAGTTGTTTTAAAAAAAGCAAGTACAGAATCACCACAGACACAAGGGATGTTCTCTTAACCAGCATATACCAGACTGTGACTGCGTTTCTCCTGTTTACTTTAACTTGCACATGAACGGTACAGCTCCACTGGAAGCTTTTTATGGGATGCTTTAAGGAAACTGTGTTACTTTGGAAAGGTGCTAAAAATGCAACTGCAAAACCACCATCTAGCTTGTGGCAATACGATGATGCTCTGAATTGTATGTATCTTTTTTTCTTGAACAGAAGTAATTTGTCAAATTCAGCAAGGCTGCAGTGGATCCAATATGTTTAACTAACTTCAGGCAATGCTCCACACAGATATAACCTTAGAGTATGTAAAAGCCGCCCCCTGCATACTTGAATGGTTCCTGTTAAGTGTCGGAAGTCACGCCCTTAGCATGCATTCAGCATGAATGCATTCCGAACTGCATGGATTCTAGAAAAAAAAATGTTGATACCAGTAATAGGACATCAGACCACATATTACTCTAGATGTTACATGGCAGGTCCTGCATTTAAAGAACTCTTAAGAAGCACATGTTTCTACATCTGTAAGCTGTCTTGCAAAAAGGTATAAGGTCAAAACAATATAAAAAGGAAACTCAAGACTCTTTATTAGGAATTATGGATTTGCTAATTCATTTTTTTGTTTCTTTTTAAAGAAAAATACTTCTGTATGAAATATAACACAGTTAAAGACCAGTCTTTCATGCTATTACATAATGCAAACTAACTTATACAACACTTGTTTTTGTGTGCCTGTCTTGTAAGAGGCATACAAATACATAATGATCTGGCATCATCTTCCTCTGCACATCGAACAGACTGGTAAACCAGGCCTACATGGCTTTTCTATATATGTCAAGAAAGTGGTTCCAGCCTTGCAGCTTCAGGATTCCATGGAATCAATGCAAGTGCTGCTAAAATATTGCAGCAATGACTTGATATTGACGTCTCAAGATTCAATATGCAGACGCTCTGTCTGCGCCAATGAAGATTCATTCACCTCACCCGTTGGTTCAAGAGGCACCTGCCCCATTTCCCTATTTCAAAACTTTTCTCTCTATGATGTGATTTAATTGATTTTGTAATGTGCCTTGATATGACATGTTGTGAATTGGCACCATATAAATAAATGAATTAAATTGAGTTGAAGTACACTAATGAATATTTCATGGACAATTTGGACCATTTATATAGAATTGTGATGGTGGATATAGAAAATAGGCTACATTAAACCCTACGAATGCTACAAAGACATGATAAAAAACTGATAAAAAACAGGAAACCCTTCATTTTTGCATATTCAGCAGATCAACTTAGAATGGGTTTTTAGATACCCATATATTGCAGGTCAAAAAACTCTTTGACTGAAGCTTAGATGACCATAAATGTCTAACATTAGCCTTCTTACAACATACAAAAATAAAATAAATAAATAAAAGGGTTGTCGTGTGTCAGTTGCTGAACATTTTGGGCTGTTGCTTCTAGCTAATGTTAATGTTGCCCATTTTCCTGGAAGTGACCACTAAATTGCATTAGGAGCCAGCTGAGATCATTGCAAATTGATTTTTCTGTTAACACTCCTCTATGGAGCTGTTTCAAAGCTTTCTGTAGATCTTTTTTTCTATTTTTCCTTTGAAGAATGACACCTATTGATATCTAATTTTATTAAATTAAACATTTTTGTTGATTTTTTGTTTGTTTGTTTGTTTAAACTCTAAACTGTTTATTTTTGAATCCACCTTTCAAGTCTGCAGAAGATGGGTGGTAGGATAAATTATGAGTAAAAGGCCAAGTTAATCTTCAATACACATATTCACAAAAAGGGTTCTTTGTGGTAGTTATAACATGACATGTCAGCCAATAGCAGAACTAACATACATGTTAAAAGGTTTTGAAGTTTGTAAAACCTGATTTTGTACCTGAAATTAACATCTTTTCAATGTTATGGCATTAATCAACATTTTGTAACCCATTGCAGCAAGGCATGTGCTTTGACTTCTCTGTGTTAAAGAACAAAGTACTGTTCTTAAGATGTTTATCATAGGATGTTGGTTTTGAGCCAATGAGCAAACAAGTCTTTAAGTGCTGAAACAAATGAGAAGATGATTCATCGCAAACTCTTTGCCTCCGAAGGGAATGCTGCTGGTGATAAATCTGATACGCTGCTGAAGTAATACAGCTGACTTCACAGGCAGCAGCTACATGTCAGAGAAAGTTCCAGTAAACCACGCTTGATTTAGTACTGTTTTCACTTCAACTATTACCACTGTGTACTATGACCACGTTATCAGCCGAGGGCAAAGATTAAGAACTTTTTCCTTTTTTTATGATTATTTACCAGTTTACCTGATGCCTTATTTATTGAGTTTTTGGATGTTTCTGACAGATTGCTCAGATCAGCATACTGTATGATTAATCTCTGTCCTTCTGTACCTCAGCAAACATTTACAATAAAAAGCATTTTACTCTGAAAATTTGAAATTAAGAGTTTTAAAACAATACTTTTTACGTAATATACACATCATTTGGCATTTTTATAATAACAGAAGCTTGAATTCTAAATTTTTACAGCTTATTTGTTTGTTTGTTTGTTTTTTATCTTGAACGCAGCTCAGTTTGGCACCATCCCAGCTTTTTGGTTTTGAATAATTTGCAAAAGAGCTCACCAAATATGAAAATACAGGCAGTTGCTGTCAGATAAAGCTCTCAAGTTTTCCTCTTCATGACCTGTTCTGGAATTTAATTCAGCTGTGTTCTTATTACAGTTCGGCTGAGTCTGAATAAACACATTGTTGTAAATTAGTCAGTTTAGTCAGTTAGTCAGTGGCTGCTACATGACTCACCACTGGTGAGCTAAAGTCATGAAACACGTGATCTTATCGGACTCCACCCAGCATGCTTTTGACAGGCCTCAAATAGCTCCTGATCCATGTCATGTCTGTAAGGCAACTTATCCTGCTGCATGCGGCACCTTGAAAGGAGAGTACACAACTCCTTAAACGGACGAGGGGGCAACACTAATAAACATTGGGTGATATGTCAATAACAAATGCCAAACAGTTGATTGAAAAGGATTTTTGAACAATCTAATATTAATTCTATGTCATAAAGTTGGTATATTCCCAAAAACTTGTTTTTAAAAAATATTATCAGACGTATATTTTACCTATTTTATCTTCAAATCTTGCCATACCTTTTTAACTGTAATCTGGTGTTGACTTTGATTGGGGCAGGTAACACAAATAACAAAACACTAACAAATTAACCTTTTATCTAAATCAGCAAACTGATGAGTTTTGTGAACATCAGTATCTATGAACTATTTGTGAATTAGAGTTTAACTATAGCGTTCTTATATCGTATAATATTATAGGTTGAGGAGAAAAAAAACGTTCAAACGTTTCAAATTTATGAAAATGTCAGAAGAAAGGAACAAGGCATAAATAATTATTAGTATGGTTAGTTTAATTTTGTGGTGCAAATTCCATACATTTGCCTGACAATCACCAAAATTACATTTTTATTTTGTTTTGAAACATTTTTACTTCTTTATCATTTTTGCTCTAACTTAGCGCCATTGTGGAGGACCTAACAAGATACATGTGGCGCCTGAAGCTGCAGGTTTCAATGCCCAGAACTAAATCTTTGCTAAATAGTAGCAAATAGTTTTTTGTCATGCTAGAATGTGAACTTCAACGAGTCTTTAAATCCTGTATTTAGCCCCATTATCTCCACTTTAACTCTGACTGGCTATTACTCTGAGAGGTTAAATTATATCCACAGTATGATGCCACCACCAAGTCTCACTGTGGGCCTGGAGGGTTTTCAGGGTGAGAGTCTGGATTCATTTACATACAACATGTGTATGTATGCTGTAACGTCCAGTTGAGGTCTCAATTGCTGATTGATTGATTGACTGACTTTATTGATCTAAGACCACATTTACACATATTTAGGGAAACAAATATTTCCCCCCCTCCGTTTTAAATAATAACATCGTGCACACAATATTGTTTTCAAAAACATTACATCAGATTACAGATAATAAGAATAATGCTCTAAATGCTGCAGTGTCAGTTAAGGTGGATAACCAAGACTTGGGTTCATAGTTATGATATCCTTTTTTTAAATAATAAGATATAATATTTGATAAAACATGGCATTTAATATGCTCAAAGCTTAGGATATACAACTTCATTCCTGAATTCTTTGCTGTACCTTCTGTTTTTTTTTTCTTGTAGGGGAACATTATTAAAAAGACGGTTGATTACTGAAGATACTTGATGCCATTTCAGGATTTTGCAGAGGCAAAGTTTGTGATGACAAAAGAAATCCCAATAAATATGTTGTGTTGACACATTTAAAAAAAGGTCAAGATCTGTCAAGAGTTGTGTTTATTTTTGCATTGCGCTTCATTTTGTTTTTAAAACAAATGTATAAGGGCGGAAATTCCCCTGGGGGACGACAACACTGATTCAAGGTCAGATATGGCGTGCAGCAGGTGGTCAGACTCAATATAGCTTGAACATGAGCTGATTGCAATGCGCCCTGCCCCTCACATTGGAGTCGATGCGTCACTCTAAAGTCTTACCGGAACACTTTGCCGTGTATTCTTGGCATATATAAGGGAAATAACAGAGGGATATTGACTACAGAGGAAAAAGTAGTGTACCACTTATAAGAAAGAATAAGGATTATTTTTGGCTGGTTTTAGTTGTTGCCATGGGACAACACGGGTCCAAATCCTCCGTTGAAGCACGGGTCATTTTCCACCGTTCTTGCCCTGCTGAAAAATAAATGTGCTAAGTGTACTAAAATTTAGCATACTTTTGTGTACTTGAAGGCACACTAATCATTACTATACTTTAAGTGTGTTTATGATTAGTTAACTTGAAGGATGCTATTTTGGAACAACTAATTTTGTACTAAATATATTTTAATTGTAATTAAATTGTGGACAAGCTCAACTTGAAGTGTATTTAGTGTACTTTGATGTGCTAAAGTGGAACAACTTAAAGTATATTTTGTATACTTTAAGTATATGAGTTTATATGTACTAATATATGCTTAATTAGTCAAATTAAAGTGCACTATGGTTGTATTATAACTACATTAAAAATGATTTGTTAGTGTCTTAAAAATATATAAGCTTTATACTTTTAATATACTCTTACTGTGGTAATAATATGCTTAATTATACTGTTGGCTTATTCCAATTACTAAAAAAGCATACTTTGCAGTTAATAGTAAATATACTTTATCATTACATTGCTATACTACTTTCTACCTTGCACATTCTTGCAAATGTATTAACAGTATACTAAATGCTGAAAGACTTGTGGATATACTTCCGTGCAGATGAAAAAATATACTTTAATGTATTTGAAACATGTCCAAATTATAGTACATTACAAATAATATAACTTGTACTATCTCAGAATGTATAAACATTTACATATCGACGTTAACCATTTTCATTATAAAACTTACAACACATTTTCAAATATTGGTACTTTAGTACACTTTGTAGAAATATGTCAATTTCAGGCAGCAGACCTAAACATTACAAATAAACTTTAAAGAACGCAGAGGAATACTGAACAATGAAAAACAACATTCCTTATTATTGCACCCCTAAACCCTCCCACCATACAAAAACACGCCCACCACACATTATTTTCCTTTTTTTGGCTGAACTGCTCATTGTTACATTTTCGTCTGATGGCCGTGCGCACATCAGAGACACTTGTCTACGGAAACTCCAGAAGAACAGCGTCTGTTAACCAAACAGAGAGATACTGTAAATTCATAGTATTTTTGAGCAGTACATCAGAAAAGTCTGACAAATTGTATCAGTATGATATACCAGGGTCCATAAGTGCACCAGAAAAAAAAATTGTCCATTTCAGTTGAATTTAAATAAATCTGATGCATCAAGTGGTTTTATCAGATCTGATCAAAAAAATTAAACAAAGTAACAACAAAAATTGTCAGAGATCTCAGAAAAGAAAAAAATTATGAATCCGCAGAAAGAAAGGGAAGAAAAATCCTTAAGTTTCCTTGTTTTTCCTACCACCCTCCAGGGAACCGGATGGCATTCAAATTGGGAACATCCTGCATCAACATCTCTGGTGGAGTCTAGTCCAGTCCATACAATGAACTGCTCAGCTGTAACAGCAGATTCTGCAACTATGTAAAAAAAAAAAACAGCCTGCACACAAATGTGCAGAGCAATTACTTCAATTGGAAAATAAATCATGTAATCACCATAATATAAATTGGTTTTTACCACATTTATACAGACAAAAATATAAAGTAAAATTATCAATTTACATGTGGTTCACTGTCTAAGAAATCATTATGGTCAGTAGTCAATACTTGTATCTGGAAAAAACAATCCAGGACACCTATGAAGGGTTAATTTTACGTTAACCCCTTGTGGGGGTTTTACAGCAACATCACACAAGATGTAGCTAGCTTGAAAGTGCATTTTCTTTTTTAGAAGAGCACATGGGGGGTGTGTTAGCCTCCTTCTCACTGTGCTAATGCATTCAATAAATCAAAAGAGCTAGTAAAATTACATATATTACAAAACATTATATCCTGACTGGTTTTACATCTCAAAAAATATATATATTTCATTCACAGGTTCATGTGAACTCACCAGGATATTCTTCAACACAATAATACAGCAAATCTTCCTGCTCAACCGATTACATCTCCTGTTTCTACAATACAAATATAATAATCAAAATCGCGTTTTATACAGATATCTTAAGATTTCAAAACCAAATGGGAATGTTTTGAAAGTTACCTCTCTCCATGCAGACCAAGGCCTTAAAAGAAAAGCACGCTAGCTCTGAGCAGGGAGGAGCCGTGACTAACTGCTGTGCAGGTGTGGTGCATTCAAAGTCTATGGGAATTCTGATATCAGTACTGAACCAAAAACTCCCCAAGACTAAAATTCTTGGGGAGCTACTACTTTACAGACATCAAGGCCAAACAACCTCCACATATCACTCCTATATGCATGAAGTGCTGTCAGCGACTTTTAAATATGTGCACTCACCAATTGGTCTTGTTTGCAGTAGCCCTGCTTTGATCCATTAAACAATACTAATGAAATGTTCTTTTTTGAACACTTGAGACAATTGTAATGTGTTAAGTTTATTTCTTTTGCATTTGGCCAGTATTAACTTTTCTGTTGCAATGTGGGTTATGCTATTTGTTAGATCATAATGTAGCACTGCACCAGCTTTAAACCACTTGCTTTTCAGCAGAACACACATTTTTGTGCACCTGTACTTTTGAAGTGAACATTTAGTGTTTTGTTCAATGTGGTTTTGTGTGTAAGATGTATTGTATCATATTTCTTTTTCAAAACTTATTAAACATTACATAACAACTGCAATAATTGCTATCTGTGTACTTTACACACAGCACAAAATTGCATAATAGGGTTTAAGTGCATTTTTGTAGTTATACTATTGAACACTTTCCAAAAGAATTACCTGAAGTACAAGCGTATATAACTTCACTTCATAATTAGATTCAAATGTAACTTAAAATGCACTCAAACTTAATATTACAGTGTCGATATTAAAATGTGTACTTTTAAAATATGCTTTCAATGTACGTTACAATGACAACTTTGAGCATACAATTTAAAATATAGCAAAAATATATGTAAAAACAAATTTAAAATAAGTACACTTTAGAAATTACACATAACTTTCACTTAAAGTATACTTTTTTAATAATATATTTCTATAAAGTGTAACATAGTGTAATTATGTTAAAGTGTGTTAAAAGTATTAGCATGAAAGCGTAATGTTAGTATACTTTTTATATATTTACAAAAAGTACAATTTGTCTAAGTACATTTTCAGTAAACTATAGGAAATATGAATATACTTGAAATACAATAAAGCACATTTTTTTTTTACCAGGGTGTGCAGACGACATGAGCCTGAAAGTGCATCCATGCTCTACTCCGTCCGTCCACATCCAAAGGAAGATGCCCTCTCCGTGTAATGCAACTCAGTCCTCTGCTTGGACAGCAGAAAAATCCTCACCGCACTCCTGGCCTTTGAGTCGCCGTGACACAGAGGGGCTGGTGTACGTGATGGATAACCCAACTGGGGGTGTGTGGGTGAAACAGAGGGAAAAATGGACCAGAACCTGATGGAAAGGAAATGCAGATGATTTTACCTGAAGGATCAGTCGAGCTGGTTACCTTTCTATGGATGTGCCTCTCATCCAGGTTTCCTAACCCTGGGCTGCTGTGGCCAGCAGGGCCTGTTTGATGGGGAGTCCAGTTGGTTGCTCATGGATAAGTGCAGTTAAAATAAAACTGCACGTTTATTGTAACGATATAGGATTTTGGAGAAGAATGACAACTAAGTTCTACAAGAGAAGACAATAATAGATGTCTGCCACGTGTTTATTTGTTGTGCGGCGATCCACAGATTAGGCAATGGATTACATGCACAATTTAAATAAGATATGCCGAATTATTATTACTTTTCAAATCTTAAACAACAAGAGGAGTTGGGTCAGTTTAAGTGCTGCATACATTTAAGAGTATGTCAGTAAAACCTTCCAACGTCTGACCAAAATTTTTATTTATTTCCTTCTCTTTTTAAATTGTTGATATTCTTTGGAGAACACCGAAAACCTTTAGAACTCTTTTGTATTTATTCTATGCTATCTTTTTATATTTATGTTTTAATGTAATTGGTGTTGACCCACTTTTATTGAAGTCAGACCAGGTATTTCATGAAATGAATAATATTGTGTTGTTTTTTTTTTTTGCTGACAAATGCGGTGAGCCTTACACCTGCGATTACATTCACCATCTCCAATGGATTGCACAAAGAATGTATTTTTTCATATTCAATTTGTAATATTTGAACTGCCCAACTTTATTTATTTATTTATTTATTGATTTAGCTGGAAAGGGCATGTTTATTTGTATTCTTGTACTGTGATGTTCACAATTTTTTATTTACACAGAACATATGTTATAATTGTTACTGTCATCATAGTTAACTATGGTCGTGTTTTAACAATACAAGCTTCTGACATAGTAAATATGGCTAAAGCACATTTTTTTTCATAAGAAGAAAACAACAACAAAAAACTAATAGTCTTCTCCAGAGGGCTGTTTAATATGGCTTTGCACCAATAATAGTTGAAGCTGGCGTCTAGGTATTCCTGTCTGGTGCCAAACCAACTGTTTTATTTTTTCAAAGGAATAAGGAATCTGTTTTGTGATCTGAAATAAGAAACTTATAGTTAAACTGATGGAGTATGTACTACTCTGCCAGACAGTATTGACTCTGCACTCTTAAACATTTATAAAGTTTAAGATTTATAAAACCTTTATTGATTAGGCCTAAATGTTATAACACACACGAAACTCCAAGAAGCATTTGTTTACTTTGGTACTGGGACCACAATGTGAAGACAACTACATATTTAGAGGACTCATACCTGAATACATCACAGACTATAGTTAAAACACACATTTTGTTGATAAAGTTAAAAAGTATTATTCTGAATGAGTAACCACAGAGGGGCCCTTGTGCAAAGAACAAGGGTCCCTCACAGGGTCCCACACACTGCAAAAAAAAAAAAAAAAAAAAAAAAAAAATGTAGATCTAAGTAAGTTTGTTCTGGAATTGAGGAGGTAAGTGAGACATTTTGCCAATGGAAGGAGACAATTTACATTTAACCCTTTATAGGGCATTCAGTGAAAGACTTTAAACATCTAAATTTCAAGAGTACACTGCAAAAACTGAAATCTAAGTAAGTCAGTTTTTCTTAAAATAAATGCATTTTTTCTTGAACTGAGTAGGTTAGTGAGATACTTTGCAAATGGAATAAGAAAATTTACATTTAAAATAAGGAAAAAAAAATGCAGTCTCCTATTTCAAGATCATAATATCAAATAATCTGATTATAAGGATAAAAATGGTCCTTCAGCTGGGAGATTTTCTTATTTACCTACTCAAATTAAGGGTAAATACATTTATTTTAAGACATTTTCACAAATTTAAAGATATTTTTTGTAGTGTGTCATTGGAATCCAAGACAAGACCGTATTAACTTTGTAACCTTCAAAAAATGTGTATATTTTGATGGCATAAATGAATGTTAATGTAAATACTAGAAAAGCCAACATGCCCGTATATATTAAGAAAAATAACAAAAGTGCTTCATTAAGAAATTCATGAAAAACCCTCAGAGGGTGAAAGAAATGGCACTCCATTTGTAGGGGGTATGCAAGTGATCAAAAATGGTAACTTTCCCTATAAAGGGTTATAATAAGAAAAAAACAATTGCATTGTCTTATTTCAAGTACATATTATCTCATCTTATTTTAAGTGTAAAAATACTCCTTCCATTGGCAAATCATCTTATTTGCCTCCTCAAATTAAGGGTAAATACACTTAATTTAAGAAATTTCAACTCATTTTCAAAATGTGTTTGCAGTGTACAGATGAAAATATCCGGCATTCTTGATTAAATTAAGAGGGATTGTCATTAACGACTTTCTTTAATGGTTGGTGGAGACATCGCTGCGGAATAAAGGATAGGTCGAAACTTTGCCCTGTGCCTTATCAGCCGTCAGTGCGGAGATAATGGCTTATCTATTAAACTCCGGGCAACGCACTATACAAACATCACATCAGGATTTATAGGGCTGGCCCTCACACCATTAAAGCTTCTGCGTGGATCCACGTCGCAATGGGTCAGCTTATGTCCAAACAACCACAAGTTCAAGTCATTCTCCTCGGTCTGGACAACGCTGGGAAATCCACCCTCCTCTACAAGCTCAAACACAAAACGAGCGTCTCCACCGTGCCGACCATCGGCTTTAACGTGGAGATGCTGGACGCCAGAAAGAACAGGAAGAACATCGCCGTGACCATGTGGGACGTCGGCGGTCAGGGGATGATGCGTGAACACTGGAAGGACTATTACCAAAACGCAGCGGCCATCGTGTTCGTGGTGGACGCCTCCGACCTGCGGCGCATGGAGGAGGCGCGCAGCGAGCTGGAGAAGACGCTGCGGGACGATCACCTGCGGGGATGTCCGCTGATGCTCCTCGCCAACAAGCAGGACGTGAGAGGCGCGCTGACGGTCACCGACATGAAGGACAAGTTTAACATGAGGAAGATGTGCGTGGGCAGAGAATGGTTCGTCCAGCCTTGCTCCGCTTCCACAGGGTTCGGAGTGGAAGAGGCTTTTAAGCGTTTGGTCCAGATGGTGAAACTTCCCTCTGAGCCTGGAGCTGTCAAAGACAATATCAAGGATAGCGTGCACTACCTGCGATCGAACAGCAAACAATGAACTTTATTTATAAGATATGTTTCTCTTTTAACTTATTTGCTCCAACTGCAAACTGCAGCAATCACTGTAACACGAAAATAATGTCAGTACAGTTCACTGTGTTTAAATACACTGTAAAAGTACATTGTACAATTTTTTTTGGATATACATTACATTTTAGTCATGTTTGCAATCTACTTTGTTTTGTTTACAATGTTTCCCCTAAAGTTTGAAATATTATCTAAACAGAATAAGCTGAGCGAACTGATACCATGGTCAGCTCCACACTAATGCAAGCCTATCATGTCATTCTGCCATTGTTTATCCTCTTAAAATCCCTTTACAAATGTGTAATTGTTCAACAGATATCATTTTTTTTATATATATAAAAAGTGTTTCCAATGGTATGGACTGAAGTTTAAAAGTTAACTTAAAGTTTTTGACACCTGATCCCCAAAATGATCTTCAGCCTAAATCATATCTGGAAAACCATAAGACATTAAAACTAAATCTAAAGCCCTGGACTCTAGGGTAGGTTAACTGTGTGGTATAATGCTTCTAGGAAGACATTTTTTTTTTATTATTATTTTTGTGTGTGTGTGTGACTGTAATGAAATAAGCCAATAAAAGGCAAAAAAGTTTATCCTTCTGATTTTGTGTTTAGGTGTCATGAAAGTCTGCATGTCTTTAAACTATTCAAAGTTCAATAAGAAAAAAGACTGATTGTCTAAGCACCACTGAGACCTACTTTCACGTTGGTACATTAACTTTGTACATCAGGTAGTGTGTTGAACTAAAGGTAGAAAATAACACCCAAGTTAAATCCAGCTTTCGCCATGTGATGCAGCCAGCTAAAATACAGCCAATTGTTTCTCTGTGCTACAATAATCCAGCCTTTGATAGCACTTAAAAACTGCAACACACTTTGTAAGGGAATTAGCGATTCATTCTCTCTGTAGAGGATACTAAACCACTACTCAACTTTTAAATGGCTCCCAAAGGTTTGGCCATGTTTCATATTTTTCAGCCCCTCCTGCACTGGCTGTACATATTAAGATTAATTTTAAATGATTTCATTTGCTTTTAATGATCCTGATATCCTATCTGTTTGAACAGCTACAACCTGACACACTCATGTTGGCTAATCATTTGCTCCTATGTGCCAAACACAAAGTGTAAGCTCTGAGTAGACCGTTCTTTTTCTCCTAAATTATTGAATAACTTTTCCTTTTACATTTCAGAAGCCTCTTCCCTTCCTGTCTGCTTTTAAATGCCTCCTTAAAGCTCATCTCTGCTGAGATTTGTCAGGATGTGAGATGCTGACTTAGTTTTTAATGATGCAATTTAAAAAAAGCAATCTGTTTAATCTTTTTTCATTTTATTTCATTCTGGCTGATTGCTTGATGGTCTCATTATTCAAATGCCGGTCAGTTTTTTGGGGATCCTTTTGCTCTATTATAGTTTAATATTGTAGTATGTGGTTGCTGATTCATTTTTTTTTTTTGTGTGTGTGTGCAGGACAGGAAAACTAAAGAAATGGTGGTATTGTTACTGGTATGATCATTTCAGAAAATATATTTGTAGATGAGATTGTTTGAGAATGTTTAATAATAATGCTAATGCTAAAAATGAACCTTTCTACATGTCTTGCAAATCTTAAATCTTTATCTTGCCATCAAATTAGAGAAAATATGTTTATTAGTTTAAGATTGTTTCTCTCTAATACGAAACCTATTTTTCTGGTGTCTTTTAGCTAAAATTTAGTTGAGCAAACATTTCAAAAGTCAGTTGGGCTTTTTCATCTAATGTATTCTAGATAATCTTGAATAATTTCTATAAAGAAATAAAATCGACCTTAATTAACCAATTTTGTGCAAAAGCCTATGTTCAAATGATACGTTTCTCTTTAACCACTGTTGATTCTGGTTTGGGCTGGTATTAGAATCTTTAACAATTCACTATTATAGATTTATAATATTTAAACTCTAAGAGCAGAAAATTTGTGTCATTCTTACCCTTAAACGCTTCAACAAAAGTCACATCTTGGAAAAAAAACATCCTTGACAACATTTTACTTAAAATCTAAGCAGTTGCTTAAAAGATCAGATAGAAACTGATTTAAAGTCATACCCCATGCTGCTGTTTCAAAGTTTAATTGTATTCAATTAATGTTCGAGTCGTTCATATTGGAGGGACCGGCTCGTCCTCTGCTTCCATCCTTGATTGTCTCTTCGTAGGTTGGGAGATCTCTGCATTCCTCATATGTGGGTAGTTTCACAGCTGACGCATGAGCCAAAGGTGGATCAGCTAAAGTTTCCCTCGAACAGCTCTCCATCAGCATTTCTTGAGATGTGGTGACCGGCGGCGGGCCGTTGTGTGGGGGGCTCTGCTGCCTAGACTTGGAACACAGCATCCTCTGGATAAAGTAGCCCAGGGCGAAGAGCAGCAGCATAATGAGCACTCCGGAAAGTTTCCGGGTCACCATGGCGATGTTGTAGTAGGTGTGGTCCACGCTTGGTTTACAACAGGGGATATAGGAGGAGATGTTTTTGCAGCAGATCGGATCATAGCTGCAGGACCCCGTTCCACATCTTTGAATTGAGGAGGCAAGTGTGGGAGTGAGAAGGCAAACGCTGAAAACTATCACTGTTCTGCATCTGATGGAAAACATATCTGTTGGGATCAGAACCAAACCCCTTCCAGCCACAACAATCAAATTAGAAATGTAAAACAACACTGATGATGCGTTTAAAGATTCCAGGTTGGAAACACAGAGATAAAGACATCACAGAGTCACTGCATGCTCAGAGGAAAACAAAACAGGACCAGCTTGTAGTTCCAATGTTAGCACCATAGGTTACAAAAAACTGAAAGGCAAAACAGAATATGAAAAATGGAAAAAGTTCAACAAGCCCTGGTGTAAGTTTTGTCTCTCTAAATCCAGCTGATGTAGACTTTCATTGTGGCAGCAAACTGTAAATCCAGTTGAACAAATGGCTCACTCCAAGAAGTCGATCAGTTGATTTGTAAAAACCGACAAATGATCTTCAAATGTAAAGCAGAAGAACAGATAGTCAGTATCCCGGAGAAGCGGTGTAGGATTGTTTCAGCACCACGGAAAGCGTTTAACACGCCCTACAAGGGAAAAAAAAAAAGATAAGAGGGAAGGAGGGAGGGGGCTGCTGTCCTAGGAGCTGACGCATTTAACAACAAATAGCTTAAAAGTCGTCTTTGGCAAGATTACAAGGAAGGTCCATTTGCAGAAAGGCTTCTTATTCACTCCTGGGTCAAGCTGCGTCAGCGCGATGAGCTTGTCCATTTAGACATTTCCTTTTCCAAAATAAAGAGTGATAATAAACAGAATATTTGTGTAAGCCTCAGGGGAACAGCAGCATTGCATGAAAGTATGAACAATAAGCAAGAAAAAGAGTTAGAGCTGTGACGGGTGGCTTTACTGGAAGGATTGAAGCCAGCGTTGTTACATCATAGCCTTAGCAAAGATAATCAATAAAGTGACTGCATGATTAGGTTGTGGGTTGTAATGGCAGGAAGTGGCCCTTAAAAGCATGTCTGAATGTCTCCTAAATTGACAAGAGCCAGTATCATGTTACTGTAGATGAATCTTCGCTCTTGTCTGAGAGATGCGTTGTTTGCATTACAGATACAAACACATTCTTTTAATGTCCACATCTCTGTCTGTGGTTTAAAGAGTCTGAAGATGAAATCCAATGCCAAATAAATAGATTTAACCAGCTATACCAAGGACTAGGAACTAGCAGGTCAGTGTTATATTGTGTATTTTTTGTACAAGGCCATCAGATAAAGAGATGGCAAAAATGTTTGACGTTTGCCAGTATTTGGGGTCTTCATGCAGAATGTTCTCATAGTGATGCAGTTTGTATTAGTGCTCTTGGTTTAAGCTGCAGTATGGTTCAAAAGTACTTACCTGATGTAAACCATTTTCCCTTCCTGTTGAAAATTAGTTAAAATGTGCCCAACATTTCAATCCATTTCTAAGCAGTATGTTTTATTTTCAACCTGAAATGAAGACATCAATTGAATGAAAGTTTAAACTATCAAATATACAGTAGATTCATAATATAGAAAAGTGATCTACAGAACATAGTGTTTAGAAGGAAAAAAAAAAAAAACTTTGTCCAACCATGGAAGACTAGTTAACCCAAGATTTTAACAAACTTGAATGGAAGTATTTCTATTTTTATTGCTTATCACTAAGAGAAAAGACATGCTTAAAGTTTACGCTCTTCCACATCCATGGTTATATGGATCCGGGGTAACAATATTTAAACACCAGGTCCATGGAAGCATCAGCTTCGGTGTTACTGGTCAAATGCCTGCAAAGAGGACCAGCAGTCCTTTTCCATTTTTGCCATATATGCCATTTCTTTTCCTGACGTAAGGCAGTAAAAGTGAGCCCTACAGAATAAAAATGTTGGACATTCTCTTCTGTATCTAAGGTTAGATCTGGAACCAGCATTAGTTGGCTGATAAGCCACCTACAGAAATTTTCACACCGGGTTCCCAGATAATCAGGGTTTGCAGACTCTCAGAAAGGACTGTTGAAAAAGATGCAGAACAGTCTCAAAGATGATGCAGAGAGATAATAGCTCTAAAAACCAGGGATATCATTCACACTTTTAAATAGGCTGGGTAACCTAAAACTGGTAAAATTGAGAAATGACTAAATGTGTCATGTGGAGCTTTTTTTTCTTCCCTTTTTGACATGGTCGTCATCTAATGTGGTCGAAGCATCAAGAGTTTACCAAGTGTCCTGCCAATTTTCTGTCTTTTCTATAATCCATGATGCATTTGAATATATGGTGGCATGAAAACAAACTCTTCTCCTGGCAAATATAAAAAAATATAAGTTCCTAAGTATGACTTAGGAAACTAACAGAGTTAACCGGGAGAAATAAAAAGCAATGAGTCAAATCTAAAAGAAAGCCTTTGCTCTCCAGATGACTAGCCTGATAATCTGAATGGTTAATCCCGTTTTTCTAATACATCTTGGGTTTTGTAGACATTTAAAAAATAGCCACTATGATGCATACCACTTCCAACTATATGGTGCTAAAATTCAGCTCTGTACCTTTCCACAGACGGCAGCAACCAAAGGTGGCTTCAAATACCAGGTTGTTTAAGAAGCCCCATGTAAACACTACCATTTAAATTTTTTTTTTGTCCAAAAAGTTAAAGCATCTCTTTTGGAGTTGTAAAATCCTAATTTTTTAGGCATTTATCTGACCCTCAGTCAAAGTATTTTCCTCAATGTCATTGTTCTAAACACTCGCTGTGGGCAAAATGTCCTTTAAAGAACCACTACTCACTTTCAAGATCTTTCAAAATAGAGAAGGTTGTATTTAAATTCAAACTGATTGGGATTCATGAGCTTTTGCTAGATAAGTACCAGTAAGAAAGGAAAAGGAGTCTGCATGCTTTCATCACTTTTTGCTTAGCATCTATACAGCACCGAGGCTCTATTAGGAACTCCAGTCTTTCACATATACAGAGACCAAACAGAAAATGAAGACAAAATTGCTTCATACAGTGTGACGTGCAAATATATCCACCTTCATATGTGTTAGTCTTGTCAGAGCTTCACCTGTTGCTAAGTATGTGTAAATTTCACTTGCTTCCCCCCCAGAAAGCTGTAGTCCATTTAACTAGCATCATGCACATTTCTGTCAGATGACATCCAGCATGCCAAAGCCTGTCCAAATTGAACACAGCAGGAATTCCAGCCTTTACTATTGACCCCCCCCCCCCCAAAAAAAAGGTAAACAGGAGCTTGATTTACAGTTCATTTCTGGATGCAGCTCAGATTTCTTTGCTTCCACACCTTGGCAGTTCAAAGAAAGCCTTTTGAGCAATAAACCTGCCATAATCTCAGCTAATGCAACAGCGGCTCAAGTGTCTTTTACAATTTTATACACAAGACACCGAAGATGATGTAGTTGAAATAAAAATCTAGAAAAAGCACTTTCCTTGGTTTGACCAATACTGTTGGTTTTCAAAAAATGTATATAAAAAAATCTTTCCATCTATATCCATGCTGTGTGCAGGATTTGGACATTTTTACCATCAACTTTGGTTTGTTTTCAAAACTTAAATCATTATGAACCAATTTTGCTGAAATTTTCAGAGCAGGTCCATATTATGACTGACAAAAAATTGACATTTTGGCAATGATCTGAACAACCAAAGATTTAACTTCAGGTGGAAACATGACTGAGGTCTCCCCTAATGATTTTCTATTTATCCATTTTCTTGCCATCAAAAATTAAAGGATTATCATAAATTTGATTTGGTAGACGCATTCCAAATACTTTATTCCAAGATCAATATTAGCATTTGTACATTGTCCAAAAAGTCCTTTTATCCACAATTCCTCACTCTCCAGTCTGGTACTCCCAGCCTCAGTCTGCGTTTTCAGTTTGATTCTTTAGAACCCGATTCTTTTCTGGATGGCAGCACAAACACAGGTCCCAGTTGGGCAGATTTGTCTGAAATCAAACAGGGCTTTAGTCAAAAATGCTTATTGGATCCACCAATTGATTTTAAACAAAACATTTCCCTTTTCCTCTGGTAAGATTCAACAAGTTGGGATATTCATAGCAGTACAATGCAGGGTACTCACAATCTTTGTGGTCTGAATTTCTCTGTTGCCCCTTATACGTTCCTGGATGGAAATTCAAGTAATTAGCTGTGTAATGTTCAGCTTTACTCCGGAATAAATCTTGTGTTGAAGGAATGATGGGCCTCGCTTTGGTGCTGGTGGCAGTTTTGGGAGGTTTTGTGGTTTGAGGTTCCTCAAAACGCTGTGAGACATCACAGCTTCTACATGCCTGGTCAGTTCCATCCACTGACTTCCACCTAGAGAAGTAATTGGAAGAGATTTCGCTTGTATTTTTAGAAATACAACTTGAGTAAAAAATATGAAACACTTATACAACACTGAAGTGGGTATATGATGCAGTTCCACAATATGTGCAGTAATAAGTGTCCTGTATAGGAGGGGGGAAAGAAAAAAAAAAAAAAGTCTGTTTACCGGTTTCCAACCAAAGAGCATGCCCGGTTTTGAGAGTTGACAGGCAGAGTGACAGGAACCGCTTTCAAAGAACAGGTTATGTAAATCTGTGGAGAAGAAGTGCTTGTATGACAAAAATAGAAGTATTCAAATTCTCATCAAAACATCAAATAAGCCAACTTCGCACACATTGAATACACCAACTCTCCCAGCTACCATCTAATACTCTAGGTCGGAACAGACTGGATTATTAATCCCTCACTACATCTTTTAAGCTGCTTAGAAAACAAACATGTTTAAAAATAATATGATAGATATTAGTAAAATCCATCAACTTCCTCCCAATTTAGATGCACATCTGCTGGAAAAAGATTTAATTAATTCAACCAAAAATAGGAAGCTCAATTTTATTACGATCGATAATAGCTTAAAGCCAAGAAAAACCAAAATTCATCTTCCCAAATGAAGATAAGAAAATTTATACAGAAACAACCTTAATTTTGTTGCCTTTACATCAGTTACTACAGGTGCTGGTCATAAAATTAGAATATCATGAAAAAGTAGATTGATTTCAGTAATTCCATTTAAAAAGTGAAACTTGTATATTATATTCATACATTACATACAAACTCATATATTTCAGATGTTTGTTTTGTTTAATTTTGATGATTACAAATAACAAATGAAAATCTCAAATTCATCATATCAGAAAATTAGAATATTGTGAAAAGGTTCAAAATTGATGGCCCCTGGTGCCACACTCTAATCAGCTAATTAACTCAAACCATCTGCAAAAGCCTTTAAATGGTCTTTCAGTCTAGTTCTATAGGCTACACAATCATGGGGAAGACTGCTGACTTGACAGTTGTCCAAAAGACGACCATCGACACCTTGCACAAGGAGGGCAAGACACAAAAGGTCATCGCTAAAGAGGCTGGCTGTTCACAGAGCTCAGTGTCCAAGCACATTAATAGAGAGGCGAAGGGAAGGAAAAGATGTGGTCGAAAAAAGTGTACAAGCAAGAGAGATAACCGCACCCTGGAGAGGATTGTGAAACAAAACCCATTCAAAAATGTGGGGGAGATTCACAAAGAGTGGACTGCAGCTGGAGTGAGTGCTTCAAGAACCACCACACACAGACGTATGAAAGACATGGGTTTCTGCTGTCGCATTCCTTGTGTCAAGCCACTCTTGAACCACAGACAGCGTCAGAAGCGTCTTGCCTGGGCTAAAGAGAAACAGGACTGGACTGCTGGTGAGTGGTCCAAAGTCATGTTCTCTGATGAAAGTAAATTTTGCATTTCCTTTGGAAATCAAGGTCCCAGAGTCTGGAGGAAAAGAAGAGAGGCACTTCATCCACGTTGCTTGAAGTCCAGTGTAAAGTTTCCACAGTCAGTGATGG